AGTAAATAATTTTTCCAAAAGTTATGGTGGACCATACTCCCCACCATCCCCAGTTGCCTAGGGAATAATTCTACATGTATTGATACTTATTAGGATTCTGCCCACTATCCATTATGAGAGGATATGGTTCTTCCAGTGCAGAGAGTTTCATTCGTATAACTCCTGGCCTCCTTTGTTCCTTTACTCACCACATCCCTTAGGAGAAGTGATATCTAATTGGTAAAGTTATCCAAAACAACTAACAGGCATAGAGTAAAAGTGTGGTTTGCAATTTTGAGGATGAGCCCTTAAGGGGAAGGTTTGTCGTTCTCTTTTCTGTTAACTAAAATGCAGGCGTAAGTGCTGGGCAACAAGGTGGAAAGCCTCATAATAAGGACTGAGAAAGATGAGCTAAGAGTTTTTTACCTGAGAAGTCAACTTCTATCTCATTTTTAAGCCCCTATATTTTGAATTCTCTTACCATCATAGCCAGAGAACAGAAGCAAGAAGTCCAGAAACACTGGGGGCAAAGGGCTCAGGCCAGGAAAAATCCACTGGAGGGATACCCAGAGGAATAAGTTCCAGTAAAAGGATAAGGTGATAAAGTTAAAAATCAACAGAAGGCTGGGGGTGGTCGTGTACTCTATAATCCTGGTGACTCAGAAGGCTGAGGCAGGAGGATCCCAAGAGACTGTCTCAAAATAAAAAGAGTGTAGATGTAGCTTAGTGGTTAAGTGACCCAGAGTTCAATTCTCAGAGCCGGAAAAAAAAAAGAAATATGCCTGATCTGGGTGAAAGAGAATAAACCAACAAAAGAAAAATTTTTAAAAAATTTTAATAGAAGGTAAACAAATAGAAACAAAGATTTGGGGAACCAATCTAACAAGTCATGATTTATATTTATATACTAAGATTTGTATTCATGCACATACAAAGGGCCCACATTAATACTTGTAAATCACTCAGGAAAGTCCCTAGCACATGGTGAATACTACATAGTGGCTAATAACTAAAAATAAAATAAATATGGTAAACAAAATAAACAGTGTATGTTAATTTTGTGTCAAATTGGCTGAGTTATGGTACCCAGTTATTTGCTCAAACACCAGTCTAGAGGTTACTATGAAGGTATTTCGTTTCTTTTTTTTTCTTAGTTGTAGGTGGACACAATAACTTTATTTTATTTTTATGTGGTGCTGAGAATCAAACCCAGTGCCTCATGCATGCTAGGTGAGCACTCTACCTCTGAGCTAAAACCCCAGCCCACTATGAAGGTATTTGTTAAATGTGATTAACATCTACCACTGAGGCAAATCAGGCTACCCTCCGTAATGCCAGTGACCCTCACCTACACAGTCATCCTCCTTCCCTTGTGACTGCTTTTCGCAGAAAATGAGATCGACCACAATGATAATGATTCGTCTGAGCCCTTGAAGCAAAATGCTTATAGGTATATTTCTTTTTAGGGACAATGAAAATATTCTGGAATAAAATAGTGGTGATGGATTTATAACACTGTGAATGACTAAATCCCACTGAATTGTTCACTTTAAAATTATTAATTTTATATCATATGAATTTCATCTCAATAAATTATCTTTACTGGTAAATTTCATGTTATGCAAATTTTCAAATAAACAAACAAAAAGGAAATATCTCCACCTCCTTCTTCCTGGGAATGAGGCTTCTTATAGGAGGTACAGAATCTCCCCACTGCCTCCTATGTTACCCAGGTAATATTTCCTCATTGGCAGAATTTAGGTTTTGGCTTTTTTTTTTTTTTTTTTTTTTTTGGTGGGTAGGTACACAGGGATTGAACTCAGGGGCACTTGACCACTGAGCCACATCCCTAACCCTATTTTGTATTTTATTTAGAAACAGGGTCTCACTGAGTTGATTAGTGCCTCGCTTTTACTGAGGCTAGCTTTGAACTTGCAATCCTCCTGCCTCAGCCTCCCCAGCCACTGGGATTACAAGCATGTGCCACTGTGCCCAGCTCAGAGTTTAGTATTAACAAACACTATTGGGTAACAGATATGAAGCCAGGTCCACCAGATAAGCTGTTATAAAAGGGATATTTTGACCTCCATGTTTATTCCCCAACCTTAGCATGAGACAGAGCTAAAAGAAGCCAAGGGCTAATGGCTCCCACTAACTAAGGCTGTTCACACCCAGTCTGTCTCACATGACTACATGTATCTCAAGTAGACAGGGACTGAGACATTTGGAAACCTTACCTGGAAATCATAAAATTCATTCAGCATTGGTAATTAGTACTTTCTTGTTTGCTGAGAGCCATAGCCAAGTAGGAACGATGCATGGCAATTTCCTTGTCAGCCTACCCAATGTTGCTTACAGGGAGGACTCTCCATTGTGGAAATGGGCTTGCCTTGGACCCTGGTCATTTGCAGTGACATTGCATGAAAGGTGACCTTGCTCAGGGATTTGGGCGGCTGCGGGTTTAGGGTGGATCCTGCTGGGAATAGGGCATATCCTGCTGCCTCCCAGGTGCCCACTCCTTGAGTTCCCGTTGAGTTCTCCCGGGATTCAGAGAGTATTTGGTATGCAGAGCCCGGTGGAGGGTGTGGATTTTCCCAGAATGTGCATGTAGAGTGCCAGTGGGAGTTCGGGAATAAAGAGTTGCTGTTGGAATCTACAAGTTTTTGTGGTGGCTCGGTTATTTTGTGCCCAGCTAGACTGCAGCACTTGTTGCCAATTCTGTATGCTTTCTTAAAGACGTAAGCTTAAAGCCAGGTGCAGACCATCGAATCCTGTGAGTTGACTAGCAATCTAAGCAGAATAGGTGAGACAATCAAATCAACTGCATCAACTATAAACTATCATTTCTATTGTTCTGTGACAGGATAAACATCTATGTGCAAATATCTCCATCAAGATGAAAATTAACAACAAAGATGAAGGAAAAGATGTTGAGATGGGCTTCTACCCCCCACCCAACATTATGTCCCAACTCTCTCCACCTCTATCCTATAAAATGGCTCATTCTTAAAAAGGAAGCTGGGTGGCAGCTATTCCACTCCTCGGACTATACCCAAAGGACTTAAAAACAGCATACTACAGTGACACTGCCACATCAATATTTATAGCAACTCAATTCACAATAGCTAAACTGTGAAACCAACCTAGATGCCCTTCAATAGATGAATGGATAAAAAAACTGTGGTATATATACACAATGGAGTATTACTCAGCATTAAAAGAGAATTAAAAAAATAAAAAAGGAAGCTGAGTGGGCTGGGGGTCTAGCTCAGTTGGTAGAGTGCTTGTCTCGAATACACAAGGTCCTGGGAAGAAGAATCTGGGTGTTCTCTGCTTCTGGTAAACCTTCCCAGAACCCAACAGTCATTTTTAGGTGCCCTTCTCTTGTGATCTCTGAGTTGCTTGTGCACAATTAGTTGTACACATTATGTGTACAACCAGATGTGAAAAATTGTGCCCTATATGTGTACTATAAATTGAAAAGCATTCTGCTGTCCCATATAATAAATAAGAATAAATAAATTAATTAATTTTTAAAAAGATTATGGTTCTCAAAATGGGAGATGTTTTCCTATTCCCCCTCTTTGGATTGTGGCTTGGAGACTTTGGATGTCCCTGTTTCAAGAACATGCTAAGGAGATGGAATTAAACATTGTAGCAATCTGAATTCAGGCAGGGAAACTAACAATAGTCTAGGCAGAATGTGATTTAATGTAGAACCTTCATTGGAAGGTTTGAAGCAGGTTTGAGAAGGCTATTGTTAAGTTTCAGGGTCTCCCCAGTGTGATTCAAAATCAGGAAATGGGGCCTTGGTTTTAGCTCAGCACAGTGATAGAGTGCAGGCTTAGCATGTGCAAGGCTCTGGGTTCGATCCCCAGGAGATCCCCTACCTAGAAGAATGAGTGAATTTCTCCATCAGATGGTTGAATCATACAAGTTTTAAAATCATTTGGGATACCTAGGCATCCTAGATCTAAGCTGAATAATAAGGAAGATGCCAACCAAATATTTCTAAATTGTTAGGCTCAAGAAATTCATGATTTTTTATGTCTAAAAAATTTACAAAATTATGTTATATTTAACCCTTGCATTTTCAAGTAAATGTAACAAGCTCCAATAGGGAATTTTATATACAGCTCTTTTTTAAAAAAGAAAAAAAAGAACAATAAAAGCTGAATTCTGAATTGGTATTGATTTTATGGACAAAAAAAAATAGTCTTAGAAATAGAAATTTTTTATGGCTCGAGGCAAAAACCATAGTCTAGCTATTAAAAAAGTGCCACAGGAAACTAATCTAAACCAAGAAAATCTGTATCATATAAGGTACGACAAAATAATATCCCTTTGTACCAGGCCATATTGAATCCTTCCTTGAACACCAACAACAGCATGCCTACAAACCCCTCTGGGACCCAATAGTGATTTAGAAACAAATTAGAGAAACAGTGCCATCTGCTGATTATACATACTGTTTTTGCTGCAAGTCATAGAATTTCAATCTTGCCAACATCTATATATTAAGTTGCCCAGGCAGCATAAACTAGAGGCCATGATTATACAACTCAAATAAGTGCCAGCTGGGTTTTCTTATTTGCTTCTTTATCATACACCCTGTTACAGGGATGGATAGAGGATGGTCCATCCAAAAGTTAAATTATGTGCATCAGATCTGTTCACATTTTAATTAATCATTAGCGATTCAGTCCTAACGAGAACATGATTGAAATGTATTTATATTGTCATTTAGAACAGGAATATCATCACAAAAAACTACATGAGAGGTATATTTATATAATTAGGAATGAATTATGTGACTCAAATTTATTGCTAATTGATAACTTTTGTCAGTTCATGCAGTAGATTGATAGAAATCATGTAAGCAGCAAAGAAGAGTGTACATTTTGGGTGCTTTTTTTTTTTTTTTTTTTTTTGAGTCAAGCACAAACTATGCTCAGCAATTGGCCTAGGAAGTACTTTGAAACTGAGCAAGATGGTTAAAGAAAACAAAGAGGTGAACTATTGTGCTCACTTTGGCAGCACATATACTTAAATGGGACCAATACAGAGAAGATTAGCATGGCCCTTGTGCAAGGATGACACATAAATTTGTGAGGTGTTCCATATTTTTACACACATGTCAAATAGAGCACTAATCTCCAAGATATACAAAGAACTAAAAAAACTTAACACCAAACAAAACAAAACAAAACAAAACAACCCAATCAATAAATGGGCTAAGGAGCTGAACAGACACTTTTCAGAAGAAGATATACAACAAATACATGAAAAAATACTTAACAACTCTAGCAATTAGAGAAACGCAAGTCAAACTACTCTTAAGATTTGGCCAGGTGCAGTGGCGCACACCTATAATCCCAGTAGCTCTGAAGGCTGAGACAGGAGAATCGTGAGTTCAATGCCAGCCTCAGCAACAACAAGGTGCCAAGCAACTCAGTGAGACCCTATCTCTAATAAAATACAAAATTAGTATGGATTGGTCTGGGGATGTGGCTCAGTGGTCAAGTGCCCCTGAGTTCAATCCCTAGTACAAAAAAAAAAAAAACTATTCTAAGACTTCATCTCACTACAGTCAAAATGGCAGTTATTAAGAATACAAGCAACAATAAGTGTTGATGAGGATGTAGAGAAAAAGGCACACTCTTATATTGCTGGTTGGACTGCAAATTGTGCAATCAATCTGGAAAGAAGTATGGAGATTCCTTAGAAAACTTTGAATACAATCGCCATTTGACCCAGCTATCCCACTCATTGTTTATACCCAAAGGGCTTAATATCAACATACTATAGTAAAGCAGCCACATCAATGTTCATAGCAACTCAATTCACAGGAAACGAAACTAAACCAAGAAAATCTGTATCATACAAGGTATAACAAAATAATATCCCTTTGTACCAAGGGGCAACCTAGGTGCCCTTCAATAGATAAATGGATAAAGAAACTGTGATATATATACACAATGGAATATTATTCAGCATTAAAAGAGAATAAAATTATGTCATTTGTAGGTAAATGAATGGAGTTGGAGAATATCGTCCTAAGCGAAGTAAGTAAATCCCAAAAAACCAAAGGCCAAATGTTCTCTCTGATAAGTGGATGCTGATCCATAAAAGAGGGGTATGGGAAAAATGGAGGAACTTTGGGCAAAGGAGAGGGGTTAGGGAGGGGGAATGAGGTGGGGGGTCAGGTAAGATGGTGGAATGAGATGGACATCATTACCCTAGTTACATGTATGACTTAACAGGTGATTCGACTCTACATCATTTACAACCATATAAATGAAAAGTTGTGCTGCAATTGCATACAATGAATCAAAATGCATTCTGCTGTCATATATACTTAATTAAATTAATTAATTAATTTAAATTTTTTTAAAAGAGGCAAACTACTTTATTCATTCAATTTTTAAGTAGCTGTTTCTTTGCCAAGCACCACTGAACATCCTAAGAATAAAAGGATGAGTAAAATGAAATCCTGGCCCTCAAAGAATTCTGTCTAATGAGAATGGAAAAAAAGTGAATGAGCAGTTATGGATAATGTGTTAAGAGCTACCCAGCAGAACTACTGAGTAGGTGCATAGAGAAAGGGGAAGGAACAGCTGGGGGCATAGCTCAATGGTAGAGCACCTGCCCAGCGTGTGTGAGGCCCTTAGTTCAATTCCCAGCCCTACGAAGGGGAAGGAAGGAGAATTCTCAAAAATTGAGCATCTGTTAAAGATGCTTTGTATATCCAACCCCTGCTACCCTAGATGTCATGGAGACCCCTTAAAATCTTGATTGAGTTTAGGCCCCCACAAATACTTAGACTGTCAAAGTTCAAAGATTTTTTCCATGATTCCCAGAGGACTTGCCATCTTGGATGCTTCCCAGCCTGTGGGCTCTCATGTCATACTTGTTGATTTTGTCTCATGTCACCTTGACTCTCTCACGAAACAGCCTCTTTTGAAATTTCTACTACAAAAAGCACTCGACTCTATGTAGGTGAGAAGAGTTCAGATTTCAGACTGGGTCCAGAGAGATAGAGAAAAGGTCACCTCCCATAATACTTAGCATTCAACTTCCTGGAGAACAGGCATTTCTGTTATTCAAATATCCTTCCCATTGTCGATATTGAATATGAAGTGTTCCCCACAGACTTGTGTGTTAACAGCTTGATCTCCAGTGCAGCAATGTCCAGGGATGGGACTTTGGGGAAACTATAGGCTGGTGATGTATGGTCAGAGGATGTAGGTCACTGGGAGCATGCTCATAGGCACTATATCCTATACCTGCTCATCACCACCCCTTTCTGGCTGCCATGAGTAGATCTGCTTTCCTCCACCATGCCCTTCCACCATGATGTTTTATGCCTTGAAACCCATTGACCATGGATTAAAACCTCTGAAAGTGTGAGCCAAAACAAATCTTCCCTCCCTTAAGTTGTTATATCAGGTATTTTGGCCACAGCGACCAAAAGCTGACTAATACACTCCCATTCCTAACACTGGGAGCTTACCTAACCCAGTCCCAGCCTTCTTCTACATTCTCATTTTCCCCTCTTCTCATTCTTCCCTCTCAAACTGTCTTCCATATTCCAAATTTTCCTTCATTGCATTTTTGACAGCAACAAACACCAAAGGTTTTGAGAGATTCACCTGAGTTTAATAGGTATTTTTTTCAAATAAAGACTAAGGAATTCTGATGCAATAAGTTAATATTATTCTATGTACTATCCAAACCTCACTACTTCATCTCCCTGCACAATTCATATAAAAGTTTTACAACTGTCATTGGACATATTGTTGTAGGGACAGACATGGCAAGGCACCAAAGATAGCAGGAAACAGTTTTATTTGGCTGCAGCCAGGTTCAGAGGGCACAGCTTTTGCTGTAATCAATCAATCCCCTGAACCCCGAGTTCAGGTAGTTTCAGAATTTTATACCCAGCGTGTAAGGGGAGGGGCTCAGAAGTTCACAGTCTGCAGAAGTTCACATAAAGCAGCTTTTTTCTTACACTGTTTTGGGCAAGTTAACCCTTCAAGGACAACACCTGAGAAGGGGGCAGCTTCTTCTCGCCTTTCTTTCCTCCCTCTGCCAACTGTTATCATGGAGGCCAATTGGTAACTTCTCTTATCTTAGGAATGTAGACATCTCTGTGAAGCCCCACTCAAGGCCAGAAGCCTTGTTTACACATTTTTACAAACTACTACATTGGATACATGTTTGTAAAAAACTAGTAAGGGGGTGTCCAGCACCTGGAGTGCTGATTTCTTCCTGGACAGTGTCCGAGTAAGACAGGGCAACACAAAAATAGGAGCTTTATCTACATTGAACTATTTTGTAAAAGAGACTCTTTTGCTGACAGTCCTAAAATCAGCCATGGTGAAGATTTCTGGAGAAGCCCAGCTAAGACTTTTCTGTGGAGTAAGGGGGTGCCACTACAGTATCACTGAACAGATGGGGAAATTTAGTTTATCTAAGATAAAACCCTATCTCATAGAGTTGCTTATGTATGCAAAGCACTTAGCATACCATAAGCACTTGATAAATGCTAACAAATATTAGTTCATCACTATATTTAGATGTTTCTCTCTTTTCTACTATACTTTACCATCTAGGTTATATTATCTAAATCTTGACTTTAAATACCACCGAGATGCTGAGAGTTCCCAAATTTATCTCCAGCCTTGACCAACTCTGCACTCATTGATATGTCAAATTGTTTATTTGACATCTCCACTGGGGATGTCTACTAGGTGTCTCAAAATCAACACCATCAAAAATGAACTTCTGGGGCCAGGAATAAGCTCTTACCTAACATGCCTGAGGTCCTGGGCTTAAGCCCAAGCACTGCAAAACAAAAACCAATCCTTCTAATTTTCCTCCACAGGCTTCTCCTCCCACAGTTTTCCCATTCTTCCACAATTCCATTCTCCATTTGTTCAGGCCCAAAACGTTGCAGTCATTCTTTTTTTTTTTTTTTTTTTTAGAGAAAGAGAGAGAGAATTTTTTTTAATATTTACTTTTTTAGTTTTCGGCGGACACAACATCTTTGTTTGTATGTGGTGCTGAGGGTCGAACCCGGGCTGCACACGTGCCAGGCGAGCGAGCTACTGCTTGAGCCACATCCCCAGCCCCACATTGGAGTCATTCTTGATTTTTCTTTTTCTTATATTGTACATTCAATCCACTACAGAATCTTATTTGCTTTGCCTTCAAAAATATCCAGAATCCAACCCACTTCTTAACATCTTGATGTTTATTACCTAGCCTAAGTCACCATAGCCCCTTGCCTAGATTATATTAGCCTAATTTATCCTGCTTCTACCCATTGATCTAGCCAATCTGCTCTCATCACTGAGCAATTCAGATCACGCCATTCCTCAGCTCAAGTTGAAATGTTTTTCCATTTCCTTAGAGTAAATGCTAAAGCCTCCCCATGATCTTCAATGCCCTGTAATATCTGATCCCCATCTCCATCACCTCTCTGACCTCATCTCTTAACACTCACAATGGCTTCCAGGCTGTTTCTCCAACATGTCAATACTTCTCCTCCTATCTCAAGGGCTTTGCACGTGAGTTTTCCTCTCTCTGCAACATTTTCTTACTTTTTCCAGGTCTTTGCATAAATTCACCTTAATATCGCTGTTATTCTACTTATTTTTCTCCATAGCATTTACCATCATGTGCCATATAATATATGGGAATTGTTCTTTCTCTGCATGTTAGAATGGAAGCATCATGAAGACAGAGACTTTGCCTGTTTTTTCACTATATATGCACAGCACAGAGAACATGAACATGTGCTCAATAAATATTTGTGAATCATGAATTATTTAATCATTTAATCAAAATTTAGGAGGATAGGACTTTCAATAAGCACTCATCAATATCTAAAGTACACAGAAACCGGGATAAAGATTGAAAAGAATTCACTGCAATTGTCAACTAGAGAGCCATTGGGATGAAGGTCTTGAGGTCTGGAGGAGGAAATAGAGGACAATAGTTTTGGGTTGACAGTTAAGGAGAAGTACAAAAAGAGCCATTAAAAATTCTCTTCTGGAAATGGATAGTGGTGATGATTGCGCAACATTGTGAATTGTTAATCATCTTTTCATTACTATAACAAAT